TGAAAGGTTCTGTACACATCAATGAAGTATATTTGAGCTAATGTGTTGTTCACTTCTGTAATATCCTTGTTGAAATTTGTTGGAAGATCTATCCATTATTGACAAAGGGTCATTAAAATCCCCTACTATAATTGTGTTGCTGTCAATATCTTTCTTAAAGTCCTCCAAGATTTTTCTTACATTTTTGGGTTCTGCTATGTTCAGTGCATATACATTTAAAATGTTTATGTCTTCTTGATGGAATCTTCCCTTGAGTATTATGAAGTGTACTTCAGAATCTCTTTTTATGGTCATTGTTTTGAGGTCTGTTTTGTCTGATATAAGTATGCTACCCCAGCTTTATTTTCCTGTCCATTTCTTGGAATATTTTTTCCAAACCTTTATTTTCAGTTTGTGTAGGTCTTTTGTTCTTAGGTGGGTCACTTGTAGTCAGCCTATGTGCGGGCCATGTTTTCATATCCATTCGGCTACCCTATGTCTTTTGATTGGAGCATTTAGTTCATTTACATTTAAGGTTATTTGATAGGTACTTATTAGTTCCCCCCCCCCCCGTACCTGTGTTCCTCTCTCTTACACTTTTTCTTCTTATAGTAGTCTCTTTATCATATCTTGTAGTACTGGTTTGGTGGAGGTATATTCTTTCAACCTGCTTTTGTGTGGAAAACTTCATATTTCACCTTGCATTTTAATTGATAGACTTGCTGAATAGAGTAGTCTTCGTTGCAGGCCTTTGCTTTTCATTACTCAGAATATTTCTTGCCATTCCTTTCTGGCTTACAGTGTTTTTGTTGAGAAGTCAGTTGTTAGCCTTATTGGGACTCCTTTGTATGTTACTTCTTGTTCCTCACTTACTGCCTTTAAGATTCTCTCTGTGTCTTGGAATTTTGCTATTTTAATTATGATGTCTTGAAGTAGGCCTCGGGTTCCTCTTGACTAGGACTCTGTACTTCCTAAATTTGTGTGACTTTTTCTGTCACCAAATTGGTGAGGTTTTCCATCATTACTTTTCCAAACAGGTTTTCTATTCCTTGTCTCTTCCTCTTCTCCTGGAATCCCTATTATATGGATATTGTGTTTTATGTTGTCCTGATGTTCCCTTAACCCCTCTTTGTTCTTTTTGAGTCTTTTTTCCTTTTCTTGATCTTTTTGGGAGTCTTTTTTCTACCTTGTCCTCCAACTCATTGATTCAATTCTCTACTTACTTAATCTCACTGGCTTTTGATTCCTTCTACTGTACTCTTCAGTTTAGAAATAAGTTCTTCATTTCCTCTTGGCTTTTTGATTGTTTCTGTGTTCATTTGCATGCTGATATAGTTTGCAGTAGGTACCTTGTAGTTTCCCTGTAGTTCAGGTAATTCTCACTTAGCTCATTGAGCTTCCTTATAACTGTTGTTTTGAACTTAGTATCTGGTAGCTGCTTTCCCTGTATTTCATTTAGTATTCTGAGGATTCTTTCCTTTTGATAGGGGTTTGTTTCTTTGTCTTGCTGTTATTTGTGAGTCTCTTGTTTGCTTCTGTTTCTTAAATTGATCTGGTTTGACTTCCTGATTTTATGGTATGAACTTCTATGATAGAAACCTGTGAGATTCAGTGGTGCTGTCTCGATCTCCTGAACTCAGTTCTCTTGCAGTGCCCTTTATGCCATTTGTATTGGCTTTCTCTCGATGTTATTGGATTTTGATTTTTTGGGGGATAATTCTTTGGTAGGTCCTCACTGCAGCTGGTTGACTGAGGCTCACTCTGCCCACCATGTCTTGTATGGTGCTGTGCAGGTGCAGTCAGGTTGCAGTGAAGCTGATTCTTCTGGCTGTCTGAGGTTATAAGGCTTCTCATTATTGTTCAGTTGTTTGTTCTGGGTGATTTTCTCAATATTTAATTGTAATTCATTCAATCCTCTGCCATCTTGCCTTAAAGAATTTTTATAAGTTAAAAAAAATTGTATGCCTGAGGCTTACTGTCCATTAATACCTGCCCAGTTAGGAATTCATGATCAGATTACCCTGTAAATTACTTTCGATAGAATCCCCCTTTCGTTTTTTTCATCTGCAGTTTCCTCTTTTGGTCAAATCAATTTAAAAGGAGTCATCAGTGACCAAGCTTTAGGTTGGATAGTGTCATCTGACAGTGGTAGGACAGTTCATTCCTAGGAAGGTCTCAGTGTTGATGTCAATACCATAGGATATGAGTTGAGGCTGAATTTTTCCAAAATAGGAAAGGTAGGTAAATGGAAGGCAATCAGGTCTTAATGACCTTCATTGCAAAAAAAAGCACTCTGAATTGTTTCTGTCCTATGACCTGTATTCCTGTCTGTCTCATTTTTTTCTATGTTTGGCAGATAGTATTGCATTTACAGAAGCCATGATAAGTACTACCAGTGATATATGTTCATTAATCAAATAGTTGAACTATATATAAGAACCCAAAGAACAAGTGTAACTATTATGGCTAATACTATGTAATATATAGTATTATGTAGTTATATATGGTTAGATATATAACTATGTAATGTTACATATTTAGCACATAGATAAACAGTGGATTCTGACTGCAGTATCCAGAGGTATACAGGTTTTGTTGATATCTTGGGATTGCTGTCTACCTCTTGTATTGGTAGCTTTACATTCTCAAGGAGTCTTATTTCCACAGACAAAGAGATGTCCATTTGTGGTTAGGCGCCTGCAAGTTTCTTGCAGTGAGGTTGGAGGCTATCTTAACAATGTTTTTTCCAAAAATCAAAATCTTCAGCTATCAGTCAATGATATTTAAAGTCTTTGTCTCCTGGTAGCTAGCTATAAAAAGAAGCTGTTACCATCTTCTTTAAGTGACTTGGTGAAATTTTGGCAATAGTGTAAAATGTCTCCTTTCAGCAGTGTCAACTCATAAGTTACCTTATCTGAGTCTAGTATAAGTAGCGTAACTGTGATGGAAAAAAAAAAGTGGGGATCACGTAGCATGGAAGAACAAGGTAGCCATCCTGGTTTCCTATAGACCTGACTATTTACAACCACCTTACCCATAAAATACACCGTAGAGGTTTTCATCACTTATTTTACAATTCTTTCCATGAAATTTCAAATCTTCAGGTGTTTAAGGTATTTTGGAGGGGAGAGACAGAGCCAGGTCAGGAGACCCTCCCAGCCTCAATTCTTGTGTCACTGCAGAAGACAAAATCACGCAAGAGACAACACATATAGTGGGAATGAGGTAGGAAGTTGAATAAATTTACATGAGTACAAAGCTGTAAGCAGGCACCCAGCTAGTCTAAATGCTCCAGGTACTGAGGAAAGAAAGTAAGTTTATTCTATACACAGAGCCAAGACTGCAAGTGGGTACTTAGCTAATCTAAGTATGCCTGCCAACTGTCAGGGTTCAGGGGATATATAGTATAGTGAGTTTCTAGGTTTCCCCTCTTTTGTCCTTTGGGAATAATACACAGCTATAAAGGCCTTCTTTTTCATTTAGTAAAGGCTCTTTGTCTTAGTGAAATTGTTTCAGAGGCTCCCTTTCCCAGCATAAGCTCCTCTCTTCTTTGTGCTCAGTTCTCACTTGTGATATTCAGAACACCCTGTAATCTTAGTTAGATTGTTACAGAAGCCCCGCTTTCCAGCACAATCTTCAAGGACTCCTCTTCTGTGCTCCTTTTGCTTATGATGCTTGGGACACCTGGCAATTTTATAAAACAGCTCAGGACTGCTCAGTTAATTGGTGAGGCATGTCTTTCTTTTGCTTTTTACCCTCCTCTATTAATTTATTTGTTAGATTGTAATAGCAAGGGCCCTGCCTTTATTTCACATCTGGCCACTCGTTCCTAGCTGCTACCTAACAGAGGGATCTTCTGAAACACCTCAAGAGTTATTTCTGTGTATTTTGAGATTTTAACCTTAAGCCTTTAATGTGTAATGAAAATTAGTAAGTAATCAGTTAGCATTTTTTGTCTTGGACATTATATAACCTCTAGAAATACTTATCATAGACATAAAAAGGTGTTACTAATATAAACTTGCTTCTGTAAAACCCAGGCAAAATAAAGACATGTCTGTTTTACTTAAACCAAAAATTTAAGCTAGCTTTTATTTACTAGGGATTAATCTTCACGTGAACTTGAAAAGCCTTTGAGTTACTTTCTGTGCTTCTGAGAATTTTAGAATGGTCAATTCTTGCAAGTGCTTACCATTAAAAATTTTAACAATACCATGTAGAAGTAGAAAATTATTTAACATTTACAACATACATAAATAGCCACATGCACACACACAGACCTTTTAGCTATGAGAAACTATAAAAGAACAATTGGATACAAATTTTGCCCTGGAGGTATTTACAATTTATATCTGTCTTTACCAGTCAGGTAACAAATGACTTCGTCTTAAAACAAGACCAGTTATTTTTTTTTTTTGTGATACTATAAAAGTTATTTATTCACTATACACAGAACATGTCCCCTATAAAATGTACATGTCAATCACTAAAAAGTATAACTTGGTGAACATTTTCTCAATTACAGAACATACTAATAAGTCAGTTGGGATAACAGCTCTCTGTCTGCCTCAAAATAATCTAATTATAGCACCCAGTGTTCTTCATATCTAATGCAAAATGAAATACTTTCAGGGGTTTTTCTCCTACTAATGTGTTTGAGGAAGCAGAGTTAACAATTTATATAATTCTAGTATATTACAGTCACTGCACAATAAATCAGTTTATTACAGATTAAACATCATTTTCTCATTATTTGTATTAATGGGATGCAAACAGAAATAAATACCAGATACTTTTAAATGGCAGGTAACCACAAAAATTACTTATCTTTGATAGTATATTGGGCTTTATAATTACATTGGATATGAATGGTGCAAAATATTGTCACAAACAATACACCTCAAACAAAACAATGAGGCAATACTGTAATGTTATTCACTAGATTGTGCTCAGTAGACATTTATTGAATAAGTGAATTTTTAATCTATTTCCCCCCAATTACCCAGTACAATTTACTCAGTAAATGTTTGCTGAATATACTGACTAAGAAAGAGGTGAGAAGAGATGGAACCTCTTAGCTGGATGTCAAGTATCATAATTGGAATTTACCTGGGATTGAGTGTGGAAGGAAGCTGTAAACCGCACATGGCATACAGGTAAATAAACTCAGATACCAACAAAGCAAACCATTAAGCAGAAAACAGTGGCACTGGAATAAACAAAGGCAAGATTTGCCAGTAGCAAAAATGTAACTCACTTTCAGAGATAACCAAGAAAAAGTTTATACTGGACCATACCTTTTCTCACCCAATTCAGTTTGAGACAGACCAATAGAGGCACTGTTAAAGAGACTATGGCTGTCTTCCTTGATATTCAGACATCCTAGTTTCCAGTAATTTATTATGGACCTGTTATCCATGAATCAATATAAACCTATTCAAATTTAGGGATTAGTTTCCACAAGTACAAAGCTGAATTTCCTTTTATTTGTCCTAAAATGCTTACTTTCATACTTGAAGGGACTTCAATTATTCCATGTAGTTTCAATAACATTCTTTTATCTTTTCAGACCAGAGTCAAAATATTCACACAGTATTCATACTGCAGCACCTTCCACCCACCCTTTGGTCGCTTGAACTGCCCTTCTTTGGTTCTTTTTCCGCTTTCTCAGATCTTTCTTGAAGTGTAGTAAGCAGAACTGTACTGGGTATTCCAGCTGCAGTTTGGTCTATCATTGTCGGAATGGCTTCTGCTACGCCGTGGTCTTCCAGTCGGTCTACTGTTTCTAGGACTATAAGATCTTCTATAGTTGTAATCAAAGGACCGACTTCTCGATCTCCTTCTTTCATAACTTCGGCTTCTAGAACGTCTGTATCTGTCATAATCATCATAGCGTGAAGAACTGTACACATTCCTTCCTTCCTTGGCTTTCATCTGATTTGGAGTCTTCCGATCCCCCTGTGCAAACTGTATTTCAATTTGGCGACCACAAATCCATTTTCTGTCCAAATTATGTAAAGCATCTTCGGCGTCACGAACATCTTCAAATTGAACATAAGCAAATCCTCTTGGCCGGCGAGTGTAGAAATCAAGTGGAACATACACATCAACTATAGGACCATAACGACCAAATTCACGTCGTAAATCTTCAGACCTGGTATCATCGGCCACGTTCCTTACGAACAGAGACGTGTTGGGAGGACGCAGGTAGCGGGACATGACTGCTACGTGAGTCTCCACAGGGACACTAACGGGCTCACTAAACCCTCCGCGGCTCCAGCGGCGGATCCTCGGTCACACACAGCCAAAGGGCTCCGCTAAGGCCAAGACCAGTTATTTTTAATACCTCAAAGAATTGGGTTGATACCTAAATGACATCATAGGTTGATAATTACTTAAATCCTCTTCAAAGCTTTGAGAGGTGAATTAAATGTTTTCCATTCATCATGCCTATTTTATAGTTGTTGTTTTCTAATTGTGTATATGAAAATTAATTTAGAAGTATCAAGGATCCTTATTTCAGCCATCTTAGTATTAATGAGAAGCTGACTGTTATGGGGCTTGTTGGCCTTAGAGGTTTGATTTCCCATGTTAATTCTGAGGCTTGTAGAGTCTGAACTTCTAAGAAGTCTTATATGCACATCTCCATATGAGCTAAATGTAGTGGATATTCCCATATAACTGTTTCATGCCCTAGAGGAAATATTTCCTTAGGGTATCCCACAGACTTTTAAAAAATATTTTATTGCCCTGGCTGGTGTAGCTCAGTGGATTGAGCACGGGCCTGCGAACCAGACAATCGAGGTTCGATTCCCAGTCAGGGCATATACTGGGGTTGCAGGCTGGTTCCCTGCGGGCCAGTTCCCAGCGGTGGACGCAGGAAAGGCAACCATACATTGGTGTTTCTCTCCCTCTCTCCTTCCCTTCCCCTCCAAAGATAAATAAATAAAAATCTTTAAAAAAAGTATTTTATTGATTACATTATTACAATTGTCCCAGTTTTTTTCTCCCTAATTCTATTCCTCTCTGCTTCTAACCCCCATCTACCAGCATTCCCCAATTAGTTCATATTCATGGTTTGTACATATAAATTCTTCGGATTCTCCATTTCCTATACTATTCTTAAGCTCCCCCTCTCTATTTTGTATCTACCATTTATGCTCCTTATTCCCTGTACCTTTTGTCTCATTCGCTTCCTCCCCGCTGATAACTCCATGTGATCTCCATTTTTGTGATTGTGTTACTGTTCTAATTGGTTAGTTTGTTTTTGGTTTTTAGGTTATTGATGTGGGTTTGTTGTCATTTTACTATTCATATTCATAGCTTTGATCTTTTTCTTAGGTAAGTCCCTTTAACATTTCATATAATAAGGGCTTGATGATGATGGAACTCCTTTAACTTGACTTTATCTGGGAAGCACTTTATCTGCCCTTCCATTCTAAATGATAGCTTTGCTGGATGGAGTAATCTTGGATGTAGGTTCTTGCCTTTCATGACTTGGAATACTTCTTTACAAGCCCCTTCTTGCCTGCAAGGTCTCTTTTGAGAAATCAGCTGATAGTTTAATGGGAACTTTTTTGTAGGTAACTGCCTCCTTTTCTCTTGCTGCTTTTAAGATTCTCTCCTTATCTTTCATCTTGGGTAAGGTAATGATGATGTGCCTTGTTGGGTGCTTCCTTGGGTCCAACTTCTTTGGGACTCTGAGCTTCTTAGGCTTCCTGGAAGTCTATTTATTTGCAAGACTGGGGAAGTTCTCCTTTATTTTTTCAAATAAGTTTTTCATTTCTTGCTTTTCCCCATCTCATTCTGGCACCCATGTGTTTCAGATGTTGGAAGGATTAAAGTTGTGCTAGAGGTTCCTAAGCCTCTCCTAATTTTTTTTGAATTCTTGTTTCTTCATTCTGTTGTGGTCAAATGTTTATTTCTTCCTTCTGGACCAAACAATTGATTTGAGTTCCTGTTTCCTTCCCTTCACTGTTGGTTCCCTGTATATTTTTATTTCACTTTGTATATCCTTCACTTTTTCCTCCACTTTGTGCCCATACTCAACCATTTCTGTGAGTTGGCTTTTCTTCATCACTTAGTTGTATTTTTTTTGGAGTTTTGATCTGTTCTTTCATTTGGGCTATATTTCTTTGTCTCAGCATGCTAGTTACATGTAAGGGGCAGAGCCTTAGGTTTTTTAGCCAGGGCAGGGCAACCCACTTTGCTGCTTTGGGGCACTGTATATGGGAGAGGGTTCAGAGAGGGAACAGTGCCACTTGGTTGGCCCTCTGTGGGCTTTCAGTCATTTACCCCACTACCCACAAGAGAATTGGGCCCTTCTGGTGCTGATTCCTGGATGGGTGGGTTTGTGTATGTTCTAAATCCTGTTTGTTTCTCCCATGCTCTCCTGTGAGGCTGGGAGTTTCACAATCCCCACACATTTTTACAGTTAGAGGTTTTGAGGCTTTATTTCCCTGCACTGGAACTGTGGGTTGCATGGTCTGTCTTACTCCTCTGTTGTTCCTCCTGGTTTATCTGCACACAAATGTGGAACTGCCCTGTCCTCCAGCCGCCTCTTCACTATGTGTCCTCTCCTCCCCAGCTGCCTATTTCCACCCTTCCTACCATTGTGAATGAACATTTCTTCTTTAGCTCCTTGGCTGTTGGACTTCCATATATTTAGATTTTCTGTCAGTTTTGGTTATTTTTTGTTTCTAAATTTGTTACTGCCCTTCTTTTGGTTGAGGGTCAAGGCAAAGTATCTACCTATGCCTCCATCTTGACCAGAAGTTGTTCACAGCCTATCCCACAGATTCTCAGTCACCTAAGATTACCCGAGCAGAGGCCAGTAAGAGCTTATCAGATGCTGCTGGAATTACAACACTTTCCAAGGCACTGGTCCCTCCCTCAGGTGTTTCTCCTCAGGGCTCCCACTGGCTTTGGGATCAGGATCAGCTGTGCTCCCTCAACAGACAACTCTAGGTGTCTGTCTAAGCCACTCTGTGTTCAGGGATCTGAAAAACTATCATCTCGTTGGCTATTCAAATTGGGGAAGCAAGTGTCCTTTTCCTTTTATAGTTAATGAGTTCCATCTTTCATTTAACCAGGAAAGATTTTGTTCAGACTCTCAGTAAGGAATCCATGTTAAAAAGCCAAAATTGATAACAGCAACCCATGTGTTTTCCTTTCCCTGGGTTGTTTCAACCCATATCCACCTTGAGGATTTTTAAAGAACAGCTCAGAAAGTCATAGCCCTGATACTTAGGCCCAGAACTACAAGAGACATTTTTAAAAACAATTGAAAAATACTTTTCCTCCTAAGAAGTTCATTCCTTCCCAAGGAATCAATATGTTCTATTGCAACGCAGTTATAATGAACGAGTTAACTGGGGGCGCATCAGTTACATCCAAGGGACCTGTGCACATTGTGAGTTTTCAGGAATCCAGTGTAGCATTACTCTGCAGTGTACAAAAAAATTACACATTTACCTTCAATCAATAGCATAGCCCTTTTTGGGTGGTTGATTCTTCCAGAAAACATTTAAATTATGCTCTCTGGTACAAGAGTATTTGTAACACTCCTCAAAGTGCCAGTAGTAAAACCTTGGGATTTGGGGGATGTCAAAAGAAGTTTTTAGAGCATACTTGTATCATCTGTTTAATTTTTTTTCTAACATAAGAAGAGTATTTAGAAAGTCATAGGCAGAAGTGAGCCAGCTGGCTCACAGCTTTTATTCTCTTCCTCTTTTCCAAGCTTTTCTCCTCTTCCTTCAAGGCATGAACCTATGCACTCCTAAGCTCCAAGAACCCATCTTTTGCCTCTGTAGCTTGTTTCCTGAGCCCACACAGCCCAGCTGGCTCATTTTCTCTACCTCTGTGACTTTCTAAATAAACTTTTGCTTGTATTTGGCAGGGTTAGCATAAATCCTGTAACAGTCTCATGGAGTAGATGTTAATAACTTATTTGTTAGAATTAGAGATGCATACATTTGGCTTGAATTTGTCAGGATGAGTCCTGAGCATGAGTATTTTATGTTTCCAGATGATTCTAGGGAGCCACGGAATTGAAAACTATTGGGATAAGTAACCAAGGTCAAAACCTTTGTGGTACAGTTGGAATTTGAGAACAGCTCACTCTCCTCTGCTTATGCTCTTAATTGCAAATTGTTTACATGTAATTATTCCTTCTTGCTTGCCTAAGAATTGAAAGAACATTCATTAAACATGATTGCTTTACATGTGTCCATTTTCAGCCCCATTACAAACTTTAACAAGAAATTTTAACTGCTATTGTTAATCTTTTAATAAGTATTTTGATAGCAAGCTGTGGTATTAAACATATCTCCTAAGGTAGCTGATGCATATCTGATGGCAAGGATGATGGGAGTAGATTCTCAAAAATAGCAAACTTGGTCTTTCTCACACTGCTGTTTCTCCCCTTGTAAAAATATACAGGGGTGGAGAAAAGTAGGTTTACAGTGTGAGTACACAACAGTTTATTCTTGTATTATTATTTTCATAGCCTGAATATCTTTTTCTGTGTGAACAACTGTAAACCTACTTTTGTCAACCCCTGTACTTTCCTAAATGGGCCTGAGGAGACAGCAGTTCCATTGAGTAGTCCTGATACTTCCTGATGATTTTTACTATGTGCTATTGTAGTTCTTTGGTTTCAGCATTGCATCTTTCATTGAATATACTTTGCATTATAACCCACAAACCAGAGGCTAGCACCTGACTACTTCTGTCTCCTCCACAGAATATTGCTAAGTGACCAAGCTTAGGCAAAAATAATTTGGTGGCAGATGGAGAGGTAATTCAGTAACATCAGTAAGATTTTTCCCACTCCCTTGAGATGGACTTCCTTCATAAGCAGTAGTACCTGCACTTCTAATAATCTCATCTCATGGCTTGGTTTCACAGAATAACTATCCTCTTAGGTTTGATTTAAATATTAGTTGCTGTTAGTTTGCCCTCTTATTCCCCCAATAATGATGGTCATTGGACCAAGGTTATCAGAATGAGGCCTTCCTTTAAAGTAGGTGCATGTGGGTGGAACAGGGGCAGTTCCCCAAACAGAATGGGTGACTCCAGTCGTTTTGCCTACTAAATTTTTACTTCCTTGATCAAGCCACAGAGATTCATGTGTTAGGTATATTAACTAAGGATGTTTCTTAGACTTAATGCTTGGCTGATATACCTACCATTTAAAAAGAGGCATTAAATGATTATTGGAGCCCTTAGGAACTTTTAATCAAGAATTGACCCAGAATTGCCCTGACCAGAGTGGCTCAATTGGGCATTACTTCACAAAGTGAAAGGTCACTGATTTG